TTGATTCAATTTTTTATAAATAGCAATTGTATTTTTGGGGTTTGGGATTTGTCCAGGTTTTGCCAACAAGTATAGGTTTAATGGCATGCCAGGGTGGCATCCTGGCACGAACTTTAGCGGTTGGCATGCCATATGGCACGCAATATTTTTTAGCCGTGCCATTTACCCTAGCTGCTACAGGTTACGTATTTAGGCTGCTTAAGGTTCGAATTGGTTGTCACGTGTTACTTATTGAGTAATTATTCCAAGGGCGAACCCTAAAAGTCACTTATTATTTTTATTCAATCCAAGAAAGAGTTGGCAAGAGTTACTTTATTTACTAGACAAGCGCCATATTTATACATTTTGATTTGCAGGGGTTTCAAACCCGGATCTAGGGTCTCAAACCTGGATCCGGGGTTGCAACCTGTCTTTAGGCTTCGAACCCGTACACGTGCTATCACTATTGTAACGTCGTATTCAATGCATTTACATATAGAAAACGGAAAATTCACAACAAAAATACATGCAGAAGAAAAATATAACAAGATTTTTCGCAACAACGTCCTAACCCTAAATTTCTATCTTTACGCATTTTGTTTATTTACAAAATTAAATTTCCTTTTTTGGATCACAAGTAGGTAAATTTTGATTGATCGTAACCGAAAACCCCGTATGCACCAAATCAGGAATGGATCGAAAGCATGACAATGATAGAGATCAATAGGATGGGGAAAAAAAATCTAGTGGTTGAAATGAAACAGTAACATACTAAATTTAGTAGTAGATACAAGTTATTAGTGTTGGTGTCAAGTAATAAACAGCAAAGTAGTAAAGTAAAAATATACTACTAAATCGTAACGTTTCGCCTTTATTTTTGCCATCTACAACATATATGCACATCGCATATTCCAGCCCATTCTGCCTTGTGTACACAGTTACAATACCGTATATCTATATCATTCGACGAAAGTTATTCTTACAATTAGGTTGGTTAATTCCAAGTAAAGTTTTTAGGCCGCTGTTACTATCGTCACTTGAGAATTTTTCTGCGACGAAGTAATGTGACGATCCCATACTCTGAACTGTTAAACCGTATAACCGAACATTTTATTTTTTCGTTCATCTATTTTCATTTTTTATACCCCCCTATACGTATCTTTTCTTATTTCCTTATATATCTATTATTATTACTATACATATTTCCCATATTATGATCGACAAAGGAACAATCGAGTCAATAACCTCATTTTATAATCACTAGTCTTTCTTAGTGTGGTCCTCTAAAAGTGGTGCTGAAACGGCGGATCCAAAGTCCCGAACACGAGGCGTTTGCTTATTATAACCACCGGTAGTCCTGTACGTTCTCAAATTAAGTAATGGTGATAGTGGTTCTTTCGGAATAAACGTTTTTGGACCAGTGGAACCACGGGAAGTCTTAAAAGGGAGTTGGTTTTTAATGGAAGGAGTCCTGAATACAAGTATAGATGAGGTATTTTTATAACATGGAGGAAGTCCTAAATTAGAGCATAGTATGAGAAAGGAAAGCTAGATATTATGAAAAGACGAAGCGAAGTTGTTCCGTTAATAGAGTAGTGTGAATAATTTATGTATAACTGCAGTGTTAAAAATTCGTTGTGCATGTATAGTTCTTTGCATGTATTGCTCTCTGCCCAAAATTTTTACAATACATGCACAAAAAAATTTTTCCACGAATTGCACAATTGAACAATTGATTCAGAGTGTCCAGATAGTAATAGTCGAAATAGCTAGCAAAAATAGCTAGCAAAATAGCAAAAATAGCAAATTAACAATCATAAGAATATAGTGAATAGTGGCTATTTACTGTGCCACTGCCTTTTGCTTAAAGTATCTTCCTTGATATATATAAGTATTTAATCGTCTTAACAATTGATGAAATTTTAATATAATGCATTTAATATATTTCGGTTTAGCCCTGCTTTGAATCTGGCTGATATATCTATAGATTCAAAAGTTTCTAATTGTTCACCGACAAACAAAATTCGCATCTTAGCACAAAAACAATGTAGCTAGCTATTTCTAGCAATTTGCTAGAAATAGCGCTATTTTAGATACTAGAAATAGATGGACACTCTGAATTGATTGTGCAAGTTGAATAGTCATATACTTTTGTATTCAATAGAGTATTCATGTAATATACCTTGTGCATATTCATATTTGTGCGGAATTTTAAACAATAACTGTCGCAGATTAAAATGAAATCAGATTAAAATGAAACAGGGGGCTTCTCTTGCTCACCTTTAAAGCTTATCTCTTTTATTAATAACCCTACCCCTAAACCCTAACCCTAATGCTAAAAAAAAAAACAAAAAATGTCCCCTAAAAAATTTTAAATTTTCCTTAAAAACTAGAAAATTCATTTTAATCTAATTTCGTTTTAATCTGTCACAATAACTGTATTTAAAGACTCGACTTTTTGCCTTTAATAAAATTTTTCAGACTTCGATCTCTTATACGCTCATTGTTATATGGTTATATTATCGTGAATACATCTTCACGGCATTATTTTTAGTTGTTTATCGTGAATACATCTTCACGGAATCCTCATTGTTGTTACCTAATCGTGAATATAATTATTGTCGCAGCTGATGCTGAAAATGGCTGATGTTGAAATTCACGTGATCATCCGATGATCATTTGTTCTCGGTATGTCGACTTGTCAAATGAGGTGTGTCGACTTGTCCAACTTGTCAAATGAGGTGCGTCAATATAGCATTATCGTTATGGCTAAAGCCGAAATGCACATGCAGCTTAGCCATACATATACGGTAACAATCTCGTATATAAATATCTTGAAAACTTGTCTGTCGTGGGCACCTAAGTACGTACGTACAGTATGTAAAGTACGTACCTACTTTAGAAATATGGTATTGTATGTTGAGGCCATAGCTATTACTTCGAATTAGTAAGAAGGTTTAAGTGCTGAGACAGCACTAACATGAAAGGAAAGGAAAATTGTCTGGGTTATATGTAAGAAAAAAAAAAGGTTAGTGGGTTCTGTTAATTTCGTGATTCTATACTGGGTTATAAAAGGCGACTAGAAATATTGGAA